TATCTTTAACAAATATTAGTGCTGATAAACAGCTGAACTGTGTTCAATTTATTTCACTTTTTAATTACTCTTATGAAAAATGCCATTTAAAGCCAGAAAAGCACTACAGCCATACATATGTAGGTAACTGATGCCAACAAAAGACTCTTTCAGAGCTTAAAATCTCAACTAGTTCCTTCTGGTGAAACCTCTAATTTTGTTTTGAATACAGCAGGCCTATGCTCTTGCTTGTGAATTACACTCCTAAGGCTGTTCTTTCCTTTTATTCTTAAATGGCCTTCCTTTCTCTACATATTAAGCCCGTTTCTGTTCTCTTTAGTTATAATCAGAAAGTTATCATGGCACAGCCATAATCCCTGAGCTAGACTCCATTTCTCTGTAGTCTTCTCCCTTGGCCAGTAAGTAAACAAGTTTGTCCCAGTACCACTTTTCTTGTTTTCAGATCCTAGGTCACAATTTGGTAGGCAGCATGGCACTCACCTTAATTCCATCATGAGAAACTGAGCAGGCAAGGGGCCAAGAGCTGGCAGAGCGCTGATTTGGCTCTTTTCCCCTCACTTACCCACTTAGTCTGCTTTTGCCCTAACTTGCTTACCATAAATGTTAGCCACGTGTAAGAGGATAAACAAAATTCCAGATCCACAACAAAAGTCACACCGGCGTAGTTTGAGGACTCCTTGTACTTGGCCTTCACGCAACTCCTTGAGATAACAGGCTCCGGCCCCAGTCACACCATCATCGTTTAAGAGACCGACAAAAGAGCTTCTGTATTTGTCCGCCTAAGTCATGGTATAAAGAGTGGGACAGATCAACTATCAAAAGATGGAGCTAGAGAAGGTCATGCTCCTCTTCTCCTCTTTGCAGTTCACAGACCATGAACAAATATTCCAAGACATGCAGAAAAGTATTTATAGGCAACACTACAGGTATGGGGCAAAATCAACTTTCTAATTCATGTTATTTGAAGACAGCAGGGACTGGTGTTGTAGGTTCCCCTTGCTGAGGCACGAGAAAATATAAAATACTTGCATGACAAGATGTGCTGCTTTTTTTTTCTTTTTACTTATTTGAAATAACGTTAGATGAATAATATAAAATCATAGAATCATTCAAGTTGGAAAAGACCTTTGAGATCATCAAGTCCAATCAACAACCCTCCTCTACCAAGTACACCCCTAAACCATACCTCCAAGCACGACATCTAAACGACCTTTAAACACATTAAGGGATGGTGACTCAACCACCTCCCTGGGCAGCCTATTCCAATGTCTGACAACCCTTTCAGTGATAAAATTTTTCATAATGTCCAGCCTACCCTGATGCAACTTGAGTCCATTCCCTCTTCTTCTAATATTAATTACGTGTGAGAAGAGACCAGCACCTACCCCTCTACAATGTCCTTTCAGGTAGTTGTAGAGAGCAATAAGGTCTCCCCTCAGCCTCCTTTTCTTAAGACTAAATAGCCCCAGTTCCCTCAGCTGCTCTTCATAAGACTTATTCTCCAGGCCTTTCACCAGCTTTGTTGCCCTTCTCTACACTATCTCCAGCACCTCAATGTCCTTCTTGTATTGGGGTGCCCAAAACTGAACACCGTAATATATGAACATATATTCATTCACTGAATCACATTTTGAAACTGCTCTTGATTTCAGCTGGATCACTAATGGACTATGGCACAATTCAGCTTAAGTGAAGTCCGATTTATTCAATTTACAGCATTAGATAGCCATCACAACCTTGTTACTACTGCAAAATTCCTGATACAGGAGACAGAAGTTTGAAGTGTGCCATTCTACCGTGGATGTTGGTAGTCTGTGCTGCGTCTTTAACTTAGATCTTTTGTGCAGTCTCTTAGAATGATCTGGCTTAAAAATCAAAAATACTAAAACAATAGTCTTGGTACCACTGAAATTCTGCCAAAATATATCTGAGCTGCAAAACACTGGCTTTGATGTCTTTCTGAAGAGAGCAGAACTATAGCTAAATTAAATTTCTAGATTTTTCACCTGTTACAGATTCTAAAGACACTGCTAATAAATGTGAATTATTTCAGACAGACAAATATTAATGTTTCGATCACAACTTCATCCCTTCTAAATGCAGTTTTACCATCTTCAGTCAAGCACGAAATCAGAAATGCTCTGAAATGTGAACAGCTCATTTTTCACTATGTCAACAAATAGACTCAGGAAAGCAAAGACCATCTTACCATCTAGCTAAGTAGTCTGCAAGATGATAATGTCACAAGTTCCAAAGGCTCTAAAAAATCAGCTAGCACTTTGTTATCATAATGATTCTTTGTATTATGAAAAATAGCATGCTGTTACAACTGACAGTCTGTTACAACTCTGCCAAGTAGAAGCAGATGTGGAAGGTAAGCTTTCCAATGAACAAAAAGGTTTTGGTATAGAGTTGGAATATATTAAATGCAATTTGCTTTAATTATACTTTTGCCACTAGAAAGCTTTCAAATAGCATGGAAAGAAGGCTCACAAATGCTGGGTTCTCAAGGAGCAACTCTGTTTTAAGAATTGATAGTAATCAGTTCAACAAGAGCCAACTTTCTTCAACTTTAATTACTCCCATTACATTAAACCTTGAAACATCTCAAGTCCAAGTATTTGTCCACCTACCAGAAGAACAACTTGAAAATCATGATCAATGTCACCATGTGGTGATACCTGCCATAAGAAAATGATGGTATTACTAAGAAAAAATAGCACCCTGTGCTCCATTATCTTTACTTAGTTTTAAATTTCTCTAACCTGGATCTCAGATAAAAGAAAACATTTAAGGATGTATTGGGATTGCGCAGCAAGGTTTTGGTAGTGGGGGGGAGGCTACAGGGGTGGCTTCTGTGAGAAGCTGCTAGAAGTTTTCCCTGTGTCCAATAGAGCCAATGCCAGCTGGCTCCAAGAAAGACCCACTGCTGCCTGAGGCCAAGTCCATCAGTGACAGCAGCAGAGCCTCTTCAGAAAGAAAAAAAAGTTAAGTTACTGCACAGGAGCAACTGCAGCTCAAGAGAGGAGTGAGAATATGTGAGAGCAACAACTCGGCAGACACCAAGGTCAGTGGAGAAAGGAGGGGGAGGAAGTGCTCCAAGAACCAGAGCAGAGGTTCCTCTGCAGCCTGTGGTGAAGACCATGGTGAGGCAGGTGAGGCAGGCTGTCCCCCTGCAGCCCGTGAAGGACCCCACGCCAGACCAGGTGGATGTGCCCTGAAGGAGGCTGCAACCCCCTGGGAAGCCCATGCTGGAGCAGGCTCCTGCCAGGACCTGTGAACCCATGGAGACGAAGGAGCCCACACTGGAGTAGCTTTGTTGGCAGGACTTGAGACCCCATGGGGGACACACACTGGAGCAGTGTGTTCCTAAAGGACTGCACCCCCCTGGAAGGGACCCATGCTGGAGCAGCTCATGAAGACCAGCAGCCCATGGGAAGGACTCATGTTAGAGAAGTTCACGGAGGACCGTCTCCTATGGGAGGGACCCCACGCTGGAACATGGGAAGAATGAGAGGAGTCCTCCTCTAAGGAGGAAGGAGCAGCAGAGACAGCGTGTGACAAACTGACCACAACCCCCATTGCCTGGCCCCCTGCAACGCTGGAGGGTATGAGGCAGAGAAATTTGGACTAGAGTTGAGCCCAGGAAGAAGGAAGGGTGGGGAGAAGGTGTTTTAAGGTGTGGTTTTATTTATTACCCTACTTTGATTCGATTTGTAATAAACTAAATTAATTTCCCCAAGTCGAGTCTGCTTTGCCTGTGACAGTAATTGGTGAGTGATCTCCCCTTGCCCTTATCTCGACTCATAAGCCTTTTCTTATATTTTCTCTCTGCTGTCCAGCTGAAGAGGGGAGTGACAGAGAAGCTTAGGTGGGCACCTGACATGCAGCCAGGGCCAACCTATCACAAAGGAAAATAAGGAAAATACAAACTCTTATCTCACTACTTGTCCTCTGACGTAGCAAAGGCATTTTCAAAAGTCTCTAGAGGTACAGTCTCTTCTGTGCTTGTCCAGCACAATGAACAGGATAACATACTTTAATATCCCACTCTCAGCAACGGTAGATGATGACAAAACTGTTCAATCTGTGACAGACAAATCCCGGTTCACTGTTCTTAATACCATTAATTGGCTGTGCTTCTTACGAAGCAGTAACACAAGCTGAGTACACACGAGCTGAAAATACGCTAACTTGAAGCATTTTTTCTAGGAAGTATATTATTAACTCGACTAATAAAATTTGTTGCCAATTACTCATAGAGCTATATATTACATATTAAAAAAAGGTATTAAAGTAACATAATCTAGCCACCTGTTACCACACAGAGGTATAGCTACATTTAGGAATATCCACATTAAGTACAAACTTTGGATGGAAAAAAAAAAGGCTTGTTAATGTGTTTTGTTTACCCCTTAACCTGTTCTTTCTTTGTTCTCTAAAAACAAAAACCCACAACTATATATAGAATTCACATCAGCCATCTGACAAAGTTCTTTGACAAGCCATTGAGGATTCTGTTAAGTAGGTGCAATCAGAATTTTAACTCTATGCAACATGTCCATCAGAGACAATGCATCCATATGAATAGTCTTATAATGGAACCTTTAAAGAGGTAGGCAACCATAACTGCAAATCAAAATTCAGAGAGTTTCTCAAGATAAAAGTCTTATAAGAATTTATGTGTAAAGAGCCTGGACAAGGAATACAATCGTAAAACTACGGAAAGCCCAGGCATCTGAGTAGACTTCGAGAATTTCACTTTCTTGCTAGAGTAGGTTGAGTGTTTTTTCATGAGACGCAATTACCATTTTATTGACACTTCTCTTTGTAATCATCAAAAATAGTCCACAATAAGGGAAAGTCATAACAAAAATCATATTCCAAGAGGCAACATGGACTTCCCTCAATTAGATTCAATGTTCTTAAACTCCCAAAGTCTACCTAAACTCTTTCCTTTCAAGAACAACAAAAGCATACATCTCACCACTGGTACTCACCACTGTCTTCAACCATGAAATGAAAAATGTCACTGGTGGCATTGTCACCTCCTCGTAAAACATAGCATATCTTCATATCATCAATATCAGCTGGAAAGAGTCAAGAAAAAACAGATTTTGTTTTAAATGCTGAAGGTAGGAAACTGTTTGTATAGAAAAACCTGACATGTATTAAATAGTTTAGCTTCAACAGAGAGAGGTCATAGTTCTCCAGCAGAGCTCAGGAATTTCAGTATTAACAGCGTTGAAGTTTTACAGATACCATTCATTCTCCCTCCCTTCACTTCCCCCTCCCCAGTGCCCTCTTTCTTTTAAGATGTATTTACAAAAAGAACTGAAAGGAAATGTAAAAATATGGGCTCAACAGCCAGAACTATCTCATATTTTTAGTGGTGCATTTTCTTAACCAGAGGTGTATCTCCACTAAGATACTGATTCTGTCATTCTTCATCCTGAGAACTGCTGCAGAGGTCACAGAAAAACTGTGCCTGGAACCCAAGCAAAACCCAGGGTGTTTTCTATGTCAAATTCTACCCTCCAATCAAGAGGCAAGACAAATGAGTCCACATGACCCCCTTCCCCCCAACCCCACCTCTAGAACTAAATTACTTATGGCATGTGGTCTACCTCTAGGATAGGTTATCTACACATTCTGCAGTACAGAGCGCTCAATTTCTTTAGTCCGCCACAAAAATGGCCTCTCTACCAGATCATCCTTCCTATCAGCATGTTTTCAAAGGATATGGGATATAATCTATATGAACTGTCATAAATAGTGCTCACTTACACTGACTGACTGTTTTAAAAACCTGAACAGACACAATCAAAGTAGACAGATAAGACTTCATCAAGAAAAAATTCAATGCACAATTTTGAATCATCAATTGCAATAAAGAAAGTATGTAAAAAGTAAACAAATATTTATTAATGTTGTGTTTTCTGGTTTCTTTGAGAAGTGATGAGAGACATGTAATACATAAAACCTAATTTTTGTTACTTTCTTTGAAAGACTGCTGTTGGTAAAAATCCATGTCTGATACTTTTTTAAGAAAAAGTGTTAGAAATTAATAGCATAAAGTGGAGTTCAAGCACTACCCAAGTTCTCCTCCCATGCTTGGGCATATGCATTAGTAAAAAGAAGCCAAAAGCACTTTTGTAAGAGCTCCTCACAATCCTCAGTTCCAAAAGTAACCAGACATCTTAGAGGGCAAACAAGTTAAGAGCATTATCAGCAAATATATGGCTCTGAAGAATCTCTTCCATAAATGTTTGAAAGTTAAAGATCAAAAATTCATGGGGCTGTAAAGAGGACACAAACAAATACCCTCTTCATGCCAGTGAAGCAAATAAATCTTTCATCCTGCAAACACTTACACAAGCACTCAGCTCTGCCCATGGGGGTAGTCTTATCAAAATCCATGGTTCCAACATATATAAAGATAAGCACTTGAGCCAGTGTTTGCAGGACCAGGACCACCTCATCAAAAAAAAAAAAAAGCCACTTGTCAGCCAAACGTCTCAATTTTGTCCAAAGAGTTTCAAAGGAATGACCTGATTTCTACCCATTAAGAACATATTCAGAGTCACTTGAGCAATTCTACGCTTTCCTTCCACAGGTGATTAGGTTATGCTAGTTATAGTAAAACTTGCCTAGTTGTAAGCACAATTCATTACTGTGTAACTACAGTGCCTGCTAAATATTAATGGGATACTGGAATTCTCCAATAATTTTGAAATCCATCCAACATAATTTTCTATTAAAAAAAAAAGACAAAGTATCTCCACTAGATAAGGGCACTGATTTCCAATTTAAAATTCTGCAAAACTGATGTGGTTATTAAAGGTTACATGTATTAACATATATTGTTTAAGAAACAAATGGACTTCACAACATAATTCACTTGTCTCTCTGAAAACACTTCCCTGAAAAAGAAGATAAAAAGCATGATCAGGGGTGAATGCTGAATAAAACAATTTCTTGCAAAATACTGCCTATTTGGCTGGAGTATGTGGATAACTTTGGCCTCAGGAGGCTACGTGGAGTGCTAAGACATCAACCAAGCTATACTATTGCCAAGTCAGATCTTTACTCTCCACTATTGCTTCCCCTTCTTTCTGGCTCCTCAGCACACCTGCAGAGCTGTGGGATGTGACCTGGCCCTTACAAACTTACCCACGTGGAACTGAGGACTCACAAAAGAGCACTCAGCAGTCTGTCACACTTCGTACATTCAAAACATTATCCAAACATCGGCTACCTACCTGTTATATACCACTAAATTCCTTTAAATATGAAAGACTTGGTGGTTCCTTAATAGACTTTCCCCACTTTTAAACAAATTATCTAATCTTAATGAATATCTGCTATGAATAAATTCCAGCCCTGACTTGCAGAGACGAGTGCAGTACAATTATGCATACACAATAGTCTTTGTATGTACTTTTGTCCTACAACAGCACTAGACTAGAAATTACCATGTGGCAAGCATTTTTCTTTAAGCTTTCTCGGCATTTACCGTAACCAAATTGTAGATATAAAGCATCAAGAAATACTAAAGAATTAAAAGTGCTGCTTTCAGGTTTAACATGAAGTAAGAGATAGTACTTGAATAAAATTAGGAATTGCTTAATGTATTTTAATATTTTATTTTGTTACTGCCACTTGCCCATCTCTCTCTCTCATTCAGATTATTTTAACAATTACATAGAAAAGAATAAAAAGCACCAACCATTTGCAGCATTTGGGGACCTTTTATCAAGAAGTTAATTCTTCCACACTCTAATACCCCCTTTGAGCAACCCCCAATTAACTCTACGAGCCTCACGAGCAAAAGATTACCTGCTGTACTTGTGGCAGAAGTATTTGATGTATACTAATTAGAAAGCCCCACACTGATTGTTCCTGAACAAAATACACAACAAATCTCCTGGACATACTATATTATGCACAACTGCATTTTGACTGGAGGCTTTTAGCTCATCTTGCAAGCTAGGCTAATTTCCTTTCTAGCACTTGATAAAATTTTGTGGGCAGATATTTAAAAGCAATCTCAAGCATAAGGCAGAAAGCTGTTTGCTAAACAATTGCTCCGCCTTCTCTTTCAGTTACAGGCAATCCCAGACTGCTCAAGCTACACGCACACAATCTGATTTCATCAATGTTACTCACTCCAAGCAGTCAGGCTGCCTGTTCATACAGCCACAGACCCAAATCCAAGGAATGGGAGTATAAGGTGGTAAAGTATTAGGATGGACTGCAGAAACTATTGAGCAGCTTTCAAGACTCATGTGCATGTGACCCTGAACAGCCTCATCTGACTGCAAAGTTGGACAAGTTTTGAGCAGGGGTTGGACCTAACAAGCTCCAGAGGTCCCCTCCAACATAAATTGGAAGACTGTAACAGTGTTTTACAAGCCCCATCAGGACCCACACATGTTAATGAAACTGGAACTATTCAGCATTTTGTAAGAGGCTGCCCCACATGGCAGGATAGGACCCCTAAAGAAGGGGGAGATCAAAACATGAAAAGAAAGTGTGTAACAGCAGGTCCAATAGTCAATACTGGAGCAACCCAAAGTCAAAACTATTACTCAGGGCTGGTTGCAAAATGTGCACTTGCATTGGTATCATTAAGAATACAACAGAAGAGGGTCTTGTTTACTCCTGCCCTGAATATTAGATAACTGTTTATCTCAGTATAGCATAAGCATGAAATACGCATAAATTCACTACTCTGGATTTGACAACAATTTGCACACTAATGGTAGTGGGACACAAGGTGAGGGGCAACAGTGATCTACCCAGTTTTGAGTACGCAGCTTGGTCTACGTGAGACCTCTGTGTCTCATATCACTTCTCAAAACCACAGCCGCCTAGGTTCAGGCAAGAACTTTTGTCTCCCTGCCACTCACAACCTCTCCCATATCCAAAGCAGCTACAGACAAGAGGGCATCTGAGGAAAAAGGAAAGGACAGTGCCCTTTCAACCATGATTTTCACTCGCAGATTATTCTATGACTTCCAGCAAGTTCTTTTCACCTGTCCTCAGCAGAGGTATTATCCCTGAGGAAGCTTGATGCTTTCTGCCTTTCATGCAGCCTTTCCAGACACCTCTTCTCCCTCAAGTGCTTGACCTTGCATTCACAAGACATTTTTATGTGTTTGTTTCATAAAATACAAGCCATTATAGAAAACATTCGGGAAGTTGAGAAGAGAGATATCACAGAAATAACACAGATGCTCAGGCGGTATTTGCTCATAGAGGCCAAAGAACAAAATTATTGAAGAAATGTGTATTTTTAAAAACACTCTTCAACTCAACACAAAATAGAGTGCTCGTACCAGTACTGTCAGGGAACCTATGAATTTATATCACTTTCTGGGGATGCTCACTAGCTTTAAAACCAAATTTTCCTACGGGTTACATGCTTCTCACCCAGCCCAGGCAGCCCTAGGATATTAAGAAAGCCTGCGTCTTGAAGACCAGTGAGCACGCCACATGGTCGGACTGCCAGTTGAACGCCAAGTAACAACTTCTTTTTGGTCATCTGACAAATGTACGCCTGGCCATGTGGCACAAAAGAGAATGGAATGTGTACTATCCCAAGTGCCTCCCCTCCTCGAAAAAAGTAGGGTATCACTGTGCTATGCAGTGGTCTGCTTTCAAGGAACATCCACTCAATAATTCTACATTCTCCAGTGTAAGAGAAAACCCACAAAAAAAGTGATAAACCACTTACTTGCTTACTCCCATTCTCTTCTGTTTCTCACTTATTCCCAAAACAATACTCTTAATACTACTCACAGTTCACTACTGAAGCTTAGACATGGTTTGGTCCCTCCTCATCCTCTTTTTTCGCATTAACACTGCAAAACTTAGGGCACTCCAGCCATTCAAAGGTTCATCAGGCCTGTTTGCAAGATTTGGTATATCTGACAAGAACATCACTACACTTAAGACTGTAACATGGGATACATATCACTATGGGCTCTCTGAAGTGAAATACAGCCAACCAGAAGTGTTCCCCTCCAGCCTTACCACCTACACAGCCCAGCCTGTCTGGGCCTCTTTAACTTCATGCTGTCTGCTCACTCCACAGCTGCAGGAGGCTCCAAGAAACCTTATTTCATTGTTAATTAACCACCTATTAACTCATTGCAAAGCAACACGGAAAATTCTCTGGAGAATAGCTAATGCTCTCCTCTCAGTTAAATTTACTTCATGGCCTTGTGTTGAGGCTTTATTTTGGAACACACGGCACATGTGGTTTTTGTCCTATTTATACCACCTAGATTTCAGTTCCATGTAAAAAGTAAGTACCACTGACATCATTTTAAAACATTTACATTACCTTTTAATTTACCACAAACACTTTGTGGTTAAGATTCATGTAATTAATGCAATAAATGCATCCATATTATTTCCCCATGTTTGGGAAATTATTTTGCTTTTACAGCAAAGCGCACTCAGATTGTGTAGCAACTGATACCCTAGCCATAGTATGACCGTTAGTTAATAATAGCCTGGCCACTCCCATAGTATTTTCTAAATAAAACTGCTTAAAAAAGGTACTCAGTCTCTAAAGACGTGGAACCACGTGCAGCCCAATTTTGTTATCCAAATTTCTATAGCTGATGGAAAGTCCAAATCACAGTCATTCAGACTGTGACTTTTCCAAAGCGAAGATGCTTCTTTATTCAGCGTTTATCCAGTAGATAACCTTTTCTGTTTAAAGCTGTCACAGATGCAATAAATAATAAACAGAACTAAAAAATAATAAAGCCATTATAAATAAGCTCACTGTTGAAAAGTTTCTCCCATCAATTATTATAGAGTTTAGCATGAAAAAGAATGTTTCCAGTGATCTAAAGAAAGCACGGGGTACTGCAATACCTTGGGTGAACTGGCTGATGCTATGGTTGCCTTTCCCCAGGTGGATCAGAAAGCCATGGCGTGGACCCTCTGTGATTCTGATCTTAAGAGTAACTCGTAAACTGTCTCTGTCTTCCACTTTCAGCACCTTGTTGGTAATCAGAAACCCGATGTGACCGGTGGCCAGAATACGGAGAGTCTGAGCACCCTTATTTATTACAATTTGAGGTGCACTGTTGTCCACAGCCATTATTCGAATCTTCATAGTCTGAGGTTTCCTCGTTTCAAATACAGTGTTGGGGAAGACATAGAAATCAGTATGAGTGCCATCTGTAACAGTGAAAGAGAAGCTATCCTCAACTGATTCTGTGCCATCGTGTTTGTAGCTGATTAGATTTTCATTTAGATCTTGTTTAGTGAAGGTGGTGACCGGTTTGGAGTTATTGAACATGATCTGACCATGAACTGGTATTTGAGTGATGATAAATTTCAGCAATGCATCGGGTGTATCTCTGTCTTCTGCAGTCAGTTCAAATGGCGTTATCAGTTTGTATTCATTTTCACTCACCACCAGGTTATGGATTGTGACAACAGGTTTCTTATTGTCCACATCGCTGATAGAAATTCTGAAAGTACGAAATACAGGGTTATAGCCATCAGTCACCTCAAACTCAAAGCTGTCCATTTTCACCTCATCTTCTGAAGTGTGAATGTAATAGATTTTATTGCCTGCTAATAGGAGTTGAGTAAAAGTGGAGATGGGTACCCCAGGCTGATCTGTGCATTCAAGATGACCACGAACAGGTGCTCTGGTAATGGTGAAAACCAAGTTCTCATCTGGACTATTCAGGTCACTGGTGCTAAGCAAATCAGTAGTAAGGGTTACTTTCCCTCCCTCCTTCAGGGAAACTCCTTTGCTGATTACGTCTGGGAAGACAATATCAATGCTACCTATTGTCACATAAAAGTAGCGGTCAATGAGAGGATTTATTCCATCTGTCACATCAAACTTGATAAGATCACGAACTCCTTCTTGGCCAAAATGCATGTATCGAATTAAGTTTCTATCCACTTCATCTTGGGTGAAGTTCATCCCCAGGGTGATATTCTCAACTCCACCTGAAGGCTTTATTCTCTGCAACAGGCCTTGTCCTGGCCCGTATCTTATAATGTATGTCAAGGTTTTGTCTTCAGAATCCAGGTCAGTAGCCTTCAATATTCTGTTATGAATAGTTCTAGTTTCCCCTATTTCTATCTCCAAACCATCGTTGATGGCCATTCTGGGTGTCTCATCATCTACTGGAATAACCATGATGAGTACCATTTTCCTAACACTATGTTTACCATCTGTGAGTTTCACCTCAAAACTGTCCTCCTTTGTCTCAGAGTCATCATGTTCATAGAGTATGTTGGAGCTCTCTGCTATCTGATCCAAGGTGAAGCTCTCCACTAGGACAGTTCCATTGGCCAGCTGGTTCACAATGTGGCCATGCCTGGGAAGCCTGGTGATTGTGAACACTAACTCATCAGCAGGGATGTCTGCATCAACTGCATTGAGGATAGGGGTATCAATAACCAGGCTCATGCCTTCCATCACAACAAACTCTCGCATAAAGATTTCAGGCTCTTCATCGTTGCTCGGCATAATGACAATGGGGAAAAACTGCCTTTGGGAAAAGTTAATGCCATCAGAACAGCGGAATGCAAATCTGTCTTCAACAGGCTCTACACCCTTATGTATACTTTGGACATAAAAAATATGCCCTTGACGGAGGTCTTTCAAGGTAAAAGCACTTATAGCTACACCTGCTCTGGATTTTTCAGATCCTGGGGCTGGAGAGATGTTCTCCACATACCCAGATGTGGGCTGAGCAACAATGGTACAGAGTAAATCATCACTGGGAGTATCGACATCTTCAGCCCTGAGGTGAGCAAGAGTAATGACCCGTTTGTCACCTTCCGTTACTGTGAACTGCTCCCCCACAAAAACCTCTGGGGCTTGACTGTCAACAGGAAGAATAGTCACCAAGACTGAAACTCCTTGAACAACATTGCCCCTGATGCTCCACTCCTCAGAGAGGTCAGACAAGGTGAGGTTGAAAGTATCTTCTTTGGGCAGAAGGCCTATTTCACCACTAGTGTGAGCGTATACCACAGCACCATCCAGTAGATCTCTCTGGGAAAATCTCTCTGCAGGCACCCCTCGGACCAGGATGTTCCCATGCCGAGGAGGATCCTCTACAATGAAGGTCAACATTAAGTCATCGGTATCCTCGTCTGTGCCCTGAATGACATTAGCAGTGATTTCAGCAGCACCATTCTCCAGCACATCCAGGTAGGAACCAAGAGTGCCTGGGGGCAACCGTAGTGTAGGAACCTCATCATCAACTGGGTGTACATTCATTTTCAGTGTGATGGGCACAAAATGAACCCCATCACTCACATCAAGCCTGCAGGCATCACTGTTGGTCTCAGCTCCACTGTGCACATACACCACCCTCCCTTCTCTGATATCCTCCAGGCCAAAGACACCTCCTGGAATCAAACTGTACCCAGAAAGCTGCAGCTGGCCATACCGAGGAGCCTGGGTCAGGATAAATCTGAGACGGGCAAGTTCAGTGTCTGTGTCACTGGCATCCAGCTCTGTTGGACTAAGGACATGGCTGCCTCCCTCAGGCAGAGTGAAGCCAGTATTAGTGATTTCAGGCGGCTGGTTATCCACAGGCTGCAAGTAGATGGTGAAAGTCCCTTCAGCTGCATTGCCAGCTGCATCTTGCACTTGATACTGAAACTGAATCAAATGAGGAGCCACTCCCAGTTCTTCCTGTGGGGGGCGGTACGAGATCTTGTGATGATTGATCTGGGCTTGGGTGAAGTGGGTAACTTCCACGGAGTGATCCTCAGTCAGCACAAGGGATCCAAGGCGGGCTCCATATACATCTGGAGGGTGGTTAGTGTCCGTGTCAGTGGGGGGCTGGGTTATTGTGTAGCGGAGTTCACGGTCCTCTGAATCCTGATCTGTGTAACACAAGTGCTTCCTCCGCAGCGGGGTCACCTGCTGTTCTGCAACTATTAAGTGCAGGCTGCTGCTGCTATGCAGCTCTGGGGCTAGTCTGTCCACAGGATGTACCCGGATCACAAAAGTCTGTGGTCCAGAGCGGTTGGGTGGGTCATTGTCATCCTGGACTCTAAAGACAAACTGGTCCAACACAACCCCAGGGCCAGGGCTGTGAGGCCCGAAGTGGTGGTAATAGAGACGCCCTTCCACAATGTCCTGCTGCAGCCACTCTCTCACTGGCTTTTCATAGATTAGGGAGCTCCCCGCTAAACCCGGCACCCTCCTCCAAGAAAAACCCTCCTCCTCCTCCTCTTCCCAGCCAGGAGGTGGCTGTGCTTGACGAAGGAGGAGCTGCCCAGCAGCGGGGCCAGACTCCACTGTGAAGAGCAGGATGGCATCCTGCGAGTCAATGTCAGTGGCACTAAGAGTACGGGCGGTGATGGGCACTGTTTCACCCTCAGCCATGGCCAGCCCCGTGTTAGCATTGAGTAGGGGTGGCTGGTCATCAGTGGGCACCAGGGTAATGGGGAAAAGGAACTCAACGCGGTGACGAGAGCCACCATCTTCCAGCCGCAGCACCAGATTGTCACTGAGCGGAGACTCGCTGCCGTCATGCTGGTAAATGACCCGGCCTGCTGCCAGCTCAGCCACCGTGAAGTGTTTACGAGGGGCAGCAGGTGCTGGGGTGTCCTCCAAGAGAGTGAGGTGGCCGTGCCTCAGCCCTGCCACCACACTGACCCGTACATGCTCAAGGTCATCCTCATCACTGATCACCAGGTTGGGGCTGGGACCAGGGCCTGACAGAGGCCGTGACTGCCCTTCATAGAGCACAAGCCCAGTGTTGCGGGTCACCACAGGGGCCAGGGTGTTCATGGGCTTCACCACAATCACAAAGGCAAAGGGCTCCGAGGCTGCACCCTCTGGGTCCAACACCTCCAGCTCGAGCTCGAAGAGCCGCTCCCGATCCGAGTCCTCCACGGGTGGCTGGTAGGCGATGCGCAGCTCTCTCACGTCCCGCTGGCTGAAGGAGGAGACAGGCAAGCTCCGGTCGTCTGTGCTGACCATGTGGCCCTGGCCGGGGCCAAAGGGAGAGGTGATGTTGAAGAGCAGCAGGTCTGGTGGTGACTCCGTGTCCTCAGCTGCCAGCATGTCAGGCGTGAGGGCGGTGAGGACAAACTGGTCCACCTCCATCATGAGCATGGCCAAGAAGCTGGGTTTGGGGGCCACATTCTCAGTCCCGGCCCGGATCCGCACCAGCACCTGGAAATACTCGCGCTTCAGCAGCGCCCCACCACCTGCCGCCTCCCGCAGCTCCGCCACCAGCGGCACCAGGTCACGGTTGGGGGAG